GTATTGACTTGCTGGTCCTTCATCTCTGTTTAGTACTTGTTTTTTTTTGCTTTTTTTATATTTCATTATTTCTAATGTTTCTCTAATATTTAATGATATAAAAAAAACTTTAGTATTAGCTCAGCCTCGCCATTTCCTCAGTAACACTGTTGGATGTTTAAAACTGTCTGGCTTTAGGGTATACTATTTCATTTGAACCTTAGATGATTTGATGATGTGAAATAAAACGAGAGCGTTTAAATATACTACCAACTTTTAAACACAGCGAAAACATTGAATAGTTTTAATAACATTGACATGTATAGAAAAATAAAATAAGATAAATAACTGTACATTACAAAATACAATTCACATAAAGATAATAACACTGACAAATCATATACCTTAAAACGTTTATAGCCAAATAATATCTTGGCAAAGAAGCAGAGCTTAGCTTAGACAAAACATTTATAATCTTAACAGACAATTTAAAAAAAAAGAAGAAGAATATAACAATTATATTAAAATTAGACAAAAAATAATGTAATTTTGTAATAAATTAGCATAGCTTTACACTAATTTATAAATTAACAAAATAGAGAAAACATCTGCTAATTTTTACAGGTTATTAATATGAAGCATGTCCACTATGAACAGGCAATACAGCATTTATACGGCATGGAATCAGTGAAATAAAGTATTGTGTATTAGACAACTATTAGCTGTTTTCTGTTTGTCGATCAAAGCTCCCTCTAATTGTTGAGGTGATGCTCATGATAGAAATTTATTTCGAAGGTTTGTTTGCAGAACTAACCATAGAGAGTTGATAACATTTAAATATGATGATCGTGGTGGTGCCCAAACTCTTTCTGATGCTCTTTAAATCATCCTTAACAATTTCAGCAGTATGGATTAGTGCCTTGTCTTCCTGAAACAGACCGGCTACGTTTGGGATAAAAAAATATTCATCATAGAGCGAACCTATTCTGCGATAATTCATAATTATTTGCTGTCACTTCACTTTTGAGTGAAATATTAAGCGCTGAATTATTTCAACAAAAAAGCTGCCCATATCTTCAAAGGACCCCCCCCCCCACCATGTTTAATTGACGACACAAAATATTCAGGATCCTAAGCTTCTGTTGATCTTCAACACACATAGAAAAACGTTCATTTCATGGGCTTTTGCATTTGTGTGTGTGTGTGTGTGTTATTATGGATTTCTGAATGCAGACGTGCCATAGTAATCCATCTTATGCAGTGCTGTTCCAGTTGTATTGCTTTCTTTTTACGCCAGAGATTGGATGTTGTAGACTAACGTTAAGTTCTTCACATACTTTTGATGCTGTTTCTTTGAATTTCGCGCAAAACTACATGAGGGCTATCTGTGCTAGCCATCCCTAATCTAACAGTGAAAGACTAGAGGTAAGGCAGCTAGTCATCACCACCCACCGCCAACTCTTGGGCTATTCTTTTACCAACGAATAGTAAGATAGGGATTCGAACCCTCAGATTGCGAGTCGAGCGCCCCAACCACCTTGGCCTTGCTAGACCATTTCTTTTTATGCTGCAGTCTTATGTTTACGTTTTACTACTTGTACCAATGCTTGTATATCAGCTCAAATTTTCGACCATTATTATATTTGTCTCCTTGAGGTCTTAGTTTTCAATATCCATACAGACATCACTTTTGGCACTGATCCTCATGATACATTAATTATTTTAGGTGTTATGTTGGTGAAATTCCAGCTAGACACTCTTACAATCGTGCCTCTCTGGAAACATGATAGACCTTTTTAGTTTGGCAATTTTATAGCCTTTCTCAAAATAAAAAAATATAGAGACAAATTCAATGAAAAAAAAAATTAAATTATCATATGGCTACATTTTTTGCTTCAAGACAAAAAATACTTGAATTTTGAGTTTAAAAATTTTAGATGTTTGTATTATTTTGATCAGTCTATGTGTATTCGTGAAATAAGGTGCCTTTTAAAAAACATTCAAAATGTTTTCAATATTTTAAGTTCCAATTTATTTCACTAGTTGTGGTTTCACACGAAGTGATTTTTTTCGAAATTTCTACTAAGTTTTAAATTAGAAAGCATTTGTTATGAAACATTAAACTCTGCTTTAAGTGTTCTTCGTATACGTTATCATATATAAGATGAGGATATAAGAAATTATTTTATAAAGTTATAACTTTTTCTAATGGTAAAATCCAACGAATATTTTCAAAAATACTCCAGAATTAGTTAATTTTTTAGGAAGACATGTCATATTTCCAAGAAAAGGTAATATCAAGCCAAAAACACAAATATTTAATGTATGATAATTCTTGGATAATGAAATTATTATATGAGATGGAATTTGAAGTAGCAAATTTCCTTTTTAAAGTTCTAAAAGTTAAATATACATTTTTAGTTTATTTTGGAGATAATTTGTTAACTCGATAACATTTAGAAAAGATGTTTAAATCATGATAAATATCAGTTCTGCAAAGTGTTATGATTACAACAAAAAATGGTTGTATTATATATTTACATTTGATTAACTATAAGTGTGATTAATCATTAACAATGTCAGTCAAAAGACTGAACCCTGAGCTACTCCATGTTTGATCTTAAATGAACCTGACGTATATTCTGAGAAAGACATACACATTATAAATATCCATAATGTAAATATTATTATTGTTACGTCTCTGTGTTCGTTTGTTAATTTTCCGTAGAAATTCTTTCCGATAAACTTCAGCAATACAAGTCCTTTCTTAAATAAAACTAGTTTATTCTTTCTCAACTCAACTTTGCAATACACTTAGTTTCCACAGTCACTTTAACTTAAACACACGCTAGAATTCACAAAGATTCACGTATTTTACTTAAGGTCACTACCGCGCTTGACTCGATTGTCCGCCTGTCTGTTTGCAATTCTATTCTGATTAATTAATCTCGCTTTATCTGGCGCACTTATATACAGGGCGCGTAGAAAAGACCAGAGTTGCCACGAACAGACATGATCCTTCTAAAATATCATGACGTGTTACTAGTGTCACGTGACTTCCGCTGTCGTAACATCATTATACATTGTACACAGTGTCGTACGTAGGCCTATGAAGACCTTGAAACAAGAATATTACCCCATCCCCTCCAGGCTAACTCGACTAATGTTACTTTTAAGATTAAAAAGCTGTATATAGTTTAATAGTTTCGAATTAAAACGTGAGTTTATACATATTACTAATTGAATATAGACCGAAAATTTTGAAAATAGCGAGTTTTTCTTAGTATTTTTCTTTTACATCTTTAAGATAAGAACAAGAAAGGTTTTCCAAGAAGTGGTAAATCATGCAGTACTGCGAAGAATGAGAGAACTTCTAAGAACATTTTCATTATTCTATCTTACAAAGTGTTCTAAGAACTGAACAATGATCTGTTCTTATCATCTGTATCGATAATCTTCTATGAATTTATTGCTGTTAACACTGTAACTTTATAATGTGTATTTAACTAATGATTATATTTAATGTTATTTCATAGGAAAAAGTTTAACGCTTACAATCACACTGAGCACCTCCCCACCCCAGGTAGCTACCTACAGCAAGGCTATCAAGGTCACAGTTGATGGGCCTAGGGAGCCTCGAAGCAAAACACGTAAGTACATCCCTGTCTATTGATGTTTCCTCATTTTACCTGTTTTTCGTGGAATGTATATAACGAGTTAGTACCCTATGGAAACATTATTACACAGTGTACACATTGTCGTACGTAGACCTATGAAGACTCTGGAACAAGAATATTATCTTCCCACCCCTCCAGGCTAATCCTACTAATATCAAGTAAATAGAATAACGTTCTAAATTATGACTAATAATTAGTAAAAAACAAAAAACTTGCTTCCGATCGTTTCGTGTAATATTACTGCGTGGGAGGGAGTGTATGTGGAACACCTTAACTATTGACTTGAAGGGATATCAAAGCTGGCCGCGCGGGCCTTGGTGTTTTTTCACGAGTTGCAACTGTATCAAACAGATCCTTGAGTCCCACAGGCGTTGATGTTCTCTACGAGTTGGGACTGGGTATCATTAAACAGGTACTTGAATACAAAAAGTATTAATCTTATATATTTCTCATGTGGATTTTTCATAAATGTGGTCAGGCAGCTTCCCCACATATAAATAAGCCACTGAATATAAAGTGTTCAACAAAATCTAATTAGGATTATAAATTATGGACCCTTTAACCCATCATCTTTAGACAAATGAATTAAATATAAATATCCGTGTGAAAACGTCCAAAACCATAAACGAGATTCATCCAACATTTACAGTGGCAAAATTCATCTCGTCACGTAATTTAAAATCTCTCTGTATTCTGTTAATCTAAATGTAATGTTCCATTTAATAAAAACCGATCATGAACTTCATATATATATACACACTGTTTAAAATACGATAATGTAGAATAGCCATAACTGCGTGGATACTTTTAAAATGTAACAAAACTGCCCTAAAGAAATTAGTATCACCTTCGTTAGAAAATTTTTGATTAACCACGGCCCTTTCTGCCAAATAATTTAGCGTAAAACGTTAACGTCCCAGATCTTCCATTATTGTTTAAAACGCCATCTACCCGTGGACTTGTAGAGCATTAACTTGATAATCAAAAATCGCTTTGCGTCTTTAAGACTGTGTGATAGAAAACGATATTAATAGTTTAAGTTAAGCCATACTGAATTGTATTTTGGCGCCTAGAAAGTTTATCTTACATAAAGTGCTTAAGTATCAACCCCATACAAGCGCTAACCATAACTTGTAATATCAATTTTTTAATTTCTTTTTGTTTTTAAGTTAACTACTATACACAGGAAATGCCACTCTATTCACTTTTAATTGTTCTCTAATTAAAAACGATCGAGAAGATGGAAAGAAAACGTAGCAATTATTCTTTCAAGCCCCACCTACCGGTGGTTCAGTGCTAAGTTCTGTTTGTTTTAGAGCAACTTAACAGTGAATTATCTGCTTTGTCCACTGCGGGAAATCGAATCCCGGATTTTAGCGTCTAATTTCATAAACTTACCACTGTCCCACTGGGGAATCAGTGGTAAGTCTGAGGGCTTAAGGTGCTCGAAATTGGGTTTCGATACACGGCGGTGGGCAGAAAAGAATAGCCCAATACGCACCTTTGATAAATTCAAACTTTAAACAAAGTCTTTTTATTATTTTCACTTTTAGGAGTATATATATATATATATAATCCACCTTTACCTATTAGGTCATATGAGTTTTACAGGATACAAATACATAGTAAAGTTAATTACAAAAGTATAAGATTTATTAAAATTTTAAGTTACATCAAATTTTGTTTCTGTCGTTTGTTAAAGATATTTGGTTGTGGTATTAACTATACTGTGATTTTTATATACCCTCCTGACACTGACTTTATTCTTAATTTGCTCACTCACTTAGAAAGGTTTTTATGAAAATATCATCTACATGAATTAGCTAAAATCGCTTAACTAGATCAGGATATCATATTTACATTAGTGATACAAATGTCTGTGAGCGAGCTGACATATCAGACATCCTGAAGATAGTGCAACTCCCGTCTTTATCTACTATAGCTACGAATGAATTCTAGTGCAACTCTACGACGTAACGGCCTTATCTGTAGCTTGGAATTGTGCTGTTAGATTAGGATCAAGTTTACCAGGACAAAGAGCCTTGGCTTATTTTGATATATAATTGTCCATTAGTAAATTATATATTAGGTGGGGAATTAAGTAATTGTTCTAGATCTTACTTAATGTCTCTTAATTAACTGAAGGCTCTAAAGGAAACCACAATTTAAAAAAATCTTATGAAGAGAGGTAAAAGTGTAAAAAGAGGCTCATAGAACAGCTCTGAGTTTTTTGTTTTTCAAGTACAAACTTTTAGCTCATAGCTCCGTCATAGCGTGACCGACTTGAGATCTAATTACAGTTTTGGACATAGGAGATCAAACCCTTTCGATTGATGTATTTGACCACGCCTAAGGTCTCAAAGATTAATTTACTCTAATCCTGCCTAAAATAATTTCAATTTGAGGTTAGGCTGGTAGAGATCGTGAGAAGTAATAAAACCGAATCGGGTATACGCGCGCCCCACATTTGGTATTGCTGGCTCACAAAAATGTAGCAAATAGAAAGGGAAACAAAGGTCTCATAAATTAATTTACTTTAATCCTGCCTAAAAGAGTTTCAAGTGCAGCGGCTATTGAAGATTCCCTCTGGTTTCTATTTAGAGTTTCAAGAAGTTGGGTTGGGCGATTATTATAAGTCTTATCATATTTTTTTTTTTTCAGTATGTAGATGTTTAAAAAAAACACTTCTGTCTCCTGCAATAACATCTAAGTTTATAGAAACAAACAGAAGACTTATAGAAATGCAGAAAAAAATTGGACCACGTTTATTGGTAGTCAGGCATTAGTTACTCACGCGCAACTAAACTAAGAAATTTTATAGGCAGCATGATAGTATGATATCACAGGCTTGGTTGGCTGGCTATCTGGTTGTCTTAGTGCAAAGCCGCATTCGGTTATCTGCTGTGTCCACCTCTGGGAATCTAACCCGGATTTTAGCATACTTAATCCGTAAAGTAACCGCCAGGAGACATCACGGCTTTATTTAGTATAATGTTTTCTTCAAGTGTATTTTGGTTATCATTAACAAATTCTGAGAAAAATTTTCACCATAACAGTATTTTCCTTTCTAGTCTGATGTTCATTCAAACAATATATTTTAATTGTTTTTTCTTTCCCTTATTAGTCAGTTGGTTAGTAACTATTCTGATGTAGAGTAGTAATGTTCTGACAGTTGAAATGTGTTGTGTAAAGCCTGTTTTTTGTATATTATAATTTGAGATACTATAGACCTTATGCACGTGACGTTATACTTCTACTGTTAGACGCATTTGACGCCATATTGGATGGAGATAGAGAACTGACACGTGCAAAGTATATTTTTAATAGTAAATTTTTCTCGATAAAAAAAAATAACGTTAATTTCTTTGATACAGTAAAATACCACAATATTGATGCTGGATCATTAACTCTGAGTTTTATAGAATACGTGTAGCTTCAGTTTATCCAGTTAGACGCGATAAAATAAATAGCAGCTGTATGTAGAAAGACTTTTTTCATCACTATGTATCGTTTGCATCTCAGTTTGTTAATTGTAGCTTTCTCTTAGACAGTTAACAACTATGTAGTAATTTTTCAATATAATATTCATCTTTTCATATACAGTTCAGTTCTTCATATTATAATCAAGCACAATGAATAGAGAAAATATAATGTTTTTCTCCCTTAAGAAAACTGTTATTATGTATCATGTATTCTAAATTCACCAGTTTGATATTATATGTACATAAGGCATTCCTTTATGTAATAATAAAATAAAATATACACAATGTATTTCTTTGTGTAATAATAAAGTATAATATACATAACATACTCATTCATGTTACAATAAAAAAAGATCCGTTTGTTTGAAATTAAGCACAAATCAACACAATGGGCAATATGTGCTCTACCCACCAGGAGTACTGAAACCAGGATTCTAGTGCTGTAAGCCCATAGACACACCGCTGTGCCACTAGGGGAGGGGATGGGCTAATAAAATAGAACATACAGGTATCACGAAGTTGATTTCTTCCTGATGAAATAAATTTCACAGAAAGAAAGCAAGGACGTGTATATCATAATTACTGAATGTGTATTTAAAATACGTTTCATAATTTCACATTGAAAGAGTTTAATATAAAAGTAACTTCGTGTTCCATATTATAAGAGTATTAAAAGTGCAGAATAAAAGTATGAAGTGATATAAATATAAAAAAAAAATCACAAACTTAAGTAAGTTATTTTTCTTTTCTTTTTTCATCAGTTGCTTTCTTGGTGAGAATATTGCACTCAAAGCACACGCATTACGTTGCGAACAATTTTGTGATCTATGCATTGTTGGTGGAAATATTTTATGGAACAAGTATCAGAACTTCATGTGATGAAAGTTTTGGTTGGATCCTGTTTTCGGTAATAGCAGAATCACTAATTTATTATGGTAAATTTTGAACTAATACATTGGCTGATAAGAATATTGCAGTACATTGCTAAGAAACTGGCTCTGGTAGAAGAATGCGAAGCATTTCTTGTATTAAGAATAATATATATAGACTAGCAGTGGGTCTGGTGAAAAATACAGTTAGGCTTAGGAAGCTTTTACTTAGCTGTAGTTTTCACTCAGAGTGTCAAATTCAAATAAACTACCGTAAATAATTTATAAACATGTGCTCCTTTATATACCTTCAAAGTCTTTTAAAATAAAGGTGGCGTTACATTTATTAGAAAATTGTAAATATCTGGTCACCTTAAATATGAAATTTCAGTCTCAGTTACTTTTGTCTCTTTTTAACTTCTTGAACATTGCTGTAGGGAGTAAACATCGGTCATTTATTCCCATTCAAGACAGGTTTTTCTATATAGTATCTCCCTAATTATTTATTCGACTTATCCACTTCAGTTGAAAAGGGTGAATATTTTGTATTATTTCGCTAGTAATTGTACTTGTTAAGAGGCCATTGTAGGCGTTATCGTGCTATTCATTTCCGTCCAACTTTTAAGTCATGTGCTTGAATAATTTCTATAAACAGGTCTGGTTTATAAATAGTATTAGCTTATTTTGAAACCTTGGACATAGCAGATGTAACTTCTAAATACAGTTACAATCTAACTGATATAGTAACACATATGGACTATTATAAGCAGGCTTTAATCTATTGTTTTTTTGTTGTGTTTTTTTTAGGAGAACAGAGGCATCTACGGGCATTTGCCACAGCTTTATGTCAACGTCCCCCTTTTTTAGATCATTTAAGAGAGTGGGATCATTTACGAATGAAGACAGGCCAGCTCACCTTAGAATTGCCTAGGGGATTTGCTGCTCCAGTTCCCCCTTCTGGTCAGGGTACGTACTATTTCTTTACAAAAATCATGTCGTAAAACATTTAATTATTAATAGTTTTTTGACATTTTATACCAGCTCATAAATAACTGATGACACTATCAGATTACTCAACATCAACTTTGACAGAGAGTATATGCTAGATTAACACCACGTAAGTGATAAAAATTATATAAATGAAGTGGTTTAAATATAGTAACATGAAATGTATCATTATATTATAATTCTATATTTATCAGAAGAAAAACTTTGTAAGAATTAAATTCGTATTATATTAGTCTACCTTATACAAAATCTATGTTGTTTTTGACAAGCTTTATTACAGAGATAAAGAATAATTGTTAAGAGATTGTTTATATTAAAAGAGTTATATTATAGGTGTTTATCGTTTGCCTTTTATATGTGGTGTCCCTTTACATTTATTTTCATTCCAGTTATTCGCTGACTTATGGCCATAAAAATCATATTGATGGTTAGATCCAGTTGACTTAATCAGAAACTTTTTTTTTCTTGGAAAGGGAGGGGAGGAAAGGGCTGGAAAAGGGATTCAATGCCTTAAGTCTAGTGAACTTTTTTTTTCTTTTTTTTTGTAAATTTGGAAAGACTGGCGACCTCTAGCAGAGAGTCCTTTGCCAGCACGTAAAAAAAAACCTTGTGAAGGATTTAAGTACAGGAAGAATGTGAATACCTTTGGTTAGTATTACAATTGTTTTATAAATTTTAAATTTTCGTCATGTGTAATGTATCAGATTCACAGAATATTTCTCATGGAACATGGAGCCCTTCAAGTTCAAGGTGACATACAGCATAGATTATGTAATTACGAAATACAGCTTACTTTGCGAAAAAAAAATAGGTTGCTATTTGGATAATTGAAGCAACCACAGCGTGAAATACCAATGCGCTGCTTTGGATAAAAAAATGCGGACATTCTTTTTTTGTTTTTTCAAGGGGAAATAAATGAAAATAATTCTACAAATACACGTTCAAGTAAAGCAGAATAAATAAAAGACATGATTATTCTTCATAAGGAAACACTGATTCACACCCGGTTTGCATGAACAATGCATATTACATAGATAACAGAAAGATACAAGTTATTTATTCCTTTAGCAAATTTTGTAGTAGCCTTGAACCTTGAGTCATTTTATTACAAACGTCATACCTGTAATCATACATATACGTTGTGCTCTCTGTTATGGAAACAAGTTAAGAAAATAATGTTGCATATCACCATGTAGGTTTGTGGGTGTGAGACATCTTGATCATTGATTAAAGGTTGTTGTAGATATCAGCAACTAACCATACAGTGTTCTTGTTGATTTTTCATTTGACATACTTTTCCATTAATTATCAGGGTTATCATTTAAGTGACCTACTTTTGTTTCAAAGTTGCTCCAAGTTCATTTGTTCTTCAGTGAAATTCAGCTTGAATAGAAGCATTAATAATATTGTAAGTAACAGGAATAGGTTCAAGAAGTAATTTAATATATATGCCCCATGTACAGATCATAATTAACATCACACAAGCTATAAACCTGTACAATCATATACCTCAATCACATTGATAAGCAGGATATTCCAGGTCTCATGTTGCTATTGTAACTGCTTCCTACATCGTCGAATGTACTCATCTTCATGTCCAACATATTGTCCAACACACACAATTTTCAAATAAACTTTAGCGAAGAATAGCAGTACCAGACTTAGACAGAACGTTTTCTCCAAACTCTTTTAGGCTATCTACTATACGTAGACGTCACCTTCCAAGACCATACGTAAGCACACCAAAGGCACAAAAGTCCATTCAAGCTACTTACAACACAGAACTTGAAAGGTGTGTTGTTGAATGGTATTTCTGTGATTTCAGTATTTTTTTAACTATCTTTCTCATGAAAACAGCCACTGATTTCAAGGTATGGGAGGAAGCTTGTGAACGTTTAGCCTTCATCAACTGAGAATCCTTGTTGATTATCTTGCTAATACTACCAGATATGTGCCTACTTTCATCGAAGTGGTTTTTAGAATGAGAGTTTTACCTTTTGCAACTATAGCCTTCTTTCTGCAGATTAAGCTGTTGCCCTGTATTGGCTTATGTGTGAGTTTGGTACTACTGCTGCCCTAAATACTCAGCTGTACATGTTCTCTTATTTCCAATGAGAACATTGTCTTATAATCTTGCTATACAAGTATTTTAAGAAATGACTGTGACATATCTCTCAGACTTGAGATACATATAGTGCTATAGCATCATGAAAGTTCTATATATTTAAGTGTTAAAACATGTGGTCTTTGGTGCATGACTTACATCTACAGTAATGCTATGCTGTATTAATATGTACAAGCCATTCATAAAAACTGTGGTTAATCCTTTGTAATCAAGGTATTGTACTACTTGTAACCACGCACACACACACACTATTAAACTATATACTTATATTTTCTTCAACAGGTAACCATGATCAAATGCTTCACAAACTCTGAACCTCTGCATTCATTTGCCTTCATCGACAGTTCATTAAGATCTGTTATCACTTAGTATGTGTACCTATACACTCATTCAATTTCAGCAAACAACAAAACTTTATTAGAAATTTAACTTTTAAGTTTAAATATGAAATGTAAATGAGCACTTGTTTCATTCTAGTTCTTTTTTTTTCCAATGCATACAGTTAAAAAAAAAAATTAAATCCTTGCTGTGTCTTTGCAAGGCACATGGAGCTGGTACTTTTGAACTCTGGTGTCAAGTGGTACAAGTGGATGAGAATGGTCACCCATACCCCCTGAACAGAATACTAGTACATTGCAGGGTAAATCCCAGCTAACTGTTGGTATCTATACTACAGCTAGGTAAACTAGAACAAGTGGAATAAAGTGTCTTGCTTAAGGACTCGACTACAAGTCAAAAGCATGAGGCCACACTGCCCCATGCATACAGTATTTGACTAAAATCCTTCAAATTGTAACAATAACTATTGTATCAGTAGTAAAAAGGATTGATAATAGTAAAAGCATCTGTCCAAGTTTTCCAGAAGTAGTCATTTTAACATGTTGGAAATTCACACATTTTCTAAGAAATTCTCTTAGTTTTTTCTAAGAAATAGTATGCAATACACGTGTTTCTTAATTCTATGAACTGGTTATCAGAAAATATTTTGTATGTAGTCAATTTTTTCTTAATTGTGAAGATATACACACACATACACATATATATATATATATATGCCAATGAAAATTCAAAACAACTTTTTTGTATATTTCTTTTTAGATATCAATGCTACATTTCACATGCCACCTCAAGAACCATCTTGGGGGTCATATCATAATCCATATTTATCCTCTACATGTGCATTTCAACCACCTACATTCCCAAGTTCCATGAATACATGTACCCATTCCCAAGAAGCACAACCTGACAATCAACGGAACACAGATGTGGATACTCCGTGTACATTCTCTTCAGGTTAAATATCATTATTATTTAATATACCAGTTTTATACATCAACCTTCATAATGAATTTTACAATTTATTTTTGTTTCTTAATAATAAACACTTATCTTTAAAAAGTTATACTGAAATGAAAATATTACATCTGAAATAAATGTTTTTGTTTGAAATTATATAAGGGCATCATGTAATATTTTAATAGAATAGTTAAAATGAAATGTTTAGTACATATTAGATCTGAATGGTGTGAAATGAGATAGGCACGACAATAAGATATTTGCTATGTTTCATGTTTCTTAAGAATTTTATATGCGTATTTTTACTAAAAGGGTCTTAAGTCCAAGTTAAGTATTTTTACATTTGTAAAGGTAACCACTGTTTATCTCTTCACTAACTTGGCAACTCATTTATTTACTTCAAATGTGAAATGTTTTTCCCTCACTAAGACATAAAATTTATATATACTTTTTTATGCGAGTAAAAGAAAATAATTATCTAACTTTTCAATAATTTATAATCTTGAATCTGTTTCAGCACATTTTATTTTACAGATAAATATGTTACAAGTTTCTCATTTCTTTAGCCCTCCAACTTGATTCAGTAGCTGGAGCACCATCAGGACAAACATTACAGAACTTGACAGAAGCACCATCTGGATCAAACCTAAGGGTGTTTAAGCAGTCAGAGAGAATAGACTATGGACAGTCTATAAGAGATGCTGGTTCTTCAAATGGGTACTCTTTGAACAATTCTCCAACAGGAGATGGTACAACCCGAGGAACATCTTTTGTTATGGGTATTGGCATCCCAGACTTCAGGATTCCTTCTGATCATATTTCCAGTCACAATAGATCTTCCATGGATCTATCTGTGCCTCAACCAGTTTCAACAGTTGCACTTCTATCTTGTCCTAGTAATTCATCATTTTCTTTGTCATCCAATTACAGTGGTTCAGGAATTATACCCTCTAGAGGATTCTATGGAGCCAATGCCATAAACTGTGCAAGTGCAGGAGGAATGTATCTGAGTTCTCCAGTAGTTCCTCCAACTCTATTGTATCCACACCCCTATTCTGGTATATCTCAATCCCAAATTCATCCATCCCTTCACTTACTGGGCAATGAATTTAGGGTAACTACTACTGATACAAATGTGATTTCTCTACAGCACCACCAAACAAATCAACCTCATACTTCTCAAGGGACCTTTGTGGTTCCTTCTCAGTATATTAATTCACGCCTGTTTCAACAGGAAGCTGATTCTGGAGGAAACTCTCATGTTAGATTACCAGTAACACCCTCCACTATTATAATGGAAAATGTAAGAACTGATTTGACTGAAGCATCTTCTCAAGGCAGTTCTAGAGACCTTTCAGTTTGGAGACCTTACTGATACACATATTTTTATAACTGAAAAAAACAATTTGTTACAAATAGATGTAAGAAATGATTTTGACTAACAGAGATTACATGTGATTTTTCTGTGCCTTACTTGGCTGTGATGAATAATTATAAACTATTTGTTGATACCAAAGATATAATAAATGCTTAACTTAGTGGTTTTAAAAAGTGAGATTTAAGTTGTTGTAAATCAATGATCTGTAAGTTGATTATATTTATATAAATACTCTGAGTGTATTTAGATTTTTGTATTATGTGGCATAATGTTTAAATAATGACTCTTAAGTTTTCTTCCATAAATAATGAGTTTACTGTAATTATTTTGAACTGAAAAATAAATGCGCATACTTCATACTAAACTTAAGTATTGGAAATTTCATAAAATAATCATTTAGAAAACAACAAAAACAAACATTTTATAATGTACTTTTAACGTCCAACTGTACTTGAGAGCCAGGTGTGGCCCAGAGGCTACTTTGTTCAGACTATAAAGCTGGTACATGGTTCATGGCCCATTGCAACAAAACATGCTTCATACTGTGGTATGCTATATGCATGGTGGGTGGTCAAATCCCAATATTTGGTCAGACAAGAGTTAGTAGTAAGTGTTGTTGATTAATATCATTTTTATCAGTTCAAAGTTAGTGACTGCTATGTGACAATAGCTGTTTGAGTAGCTTTGCTGAAAGAATCCAAAACAACACAAGCAAATGAATGTGATGGTCAATCCCACTATTCATTGATAAAAGAGTAGCCCAAGAGTTTGCGATTGTTGTTGACCAGCTGCCTTCCCTCTAGTCTATCACTGCTAAATTAGGGACAGCTAGTGCAGATAGCCCTCATGTTTAATGTAGCTTTGCACAAAATTCAAAACAAATCAAACACAAGTTACCTAAAGCTAGGCCATTACTTTTGCTCAGAAAAGTTTACCTTTGTTTGGTAGAGAATGACTCAATTTCACTTAAAGAAACTGTAATGTCGAATATGATTTAGAAAAATAATCACAGTACATAAGACATTACAGAATTACAAACAAAGAGTCATAAAGTCATCACCTTCACCCCAAAACTTAGATTTTGTTTAGAAGGATGCTCACTTGTATCACACCTCTTTGTAATCTTATAACTTTGAAATGTTTTAAACTTACCTGAAAGTATCTAAACCACAAAAGGATTAAAATTTGCTGATAGCAACCTGGAAATCTTTCATAAATGACCTTAAATCCAAACTATCTAAGTTCTAAACATTCTACCAGCACCATAAATCCACACATTTAGAACGTTGGAACACGAGTGATTTGCTATTGTATTGAATTAATAAAAAAAACATTTTGTAGGGATATAAGTTTACTTTATTCTATAAATATGAAAAGGTAAAAAAATAAGATACTCTGTAGCTACATATAACTGTATATTTATACTGACTTCTGGTTTATAACATCAGCAAATTCAAAATGATAAGACCATTTAAATCTGATAAAAAAGAATGGTATAATTCGACAGTTTGAATATCATAATTTTTTAGCCATTTTTAGTTTTACTAATGTATGTATTGTTGTAAAATATATTTTCACAACTTCAATAAGTATATTATGTTTTGTTGTAATAATTATCCACTTACTGTCATTTATATTCTACATGAAATATTTCTATAAAAATGAAAGTTGTATTAAAAATTACATAGGGATTTTAATTTTGAAAAGCTGTACAAAATTAGTATTTTATAAGCTGAACTGTAGTGTACTGTTATAATCTTTCTCAGTTTGTTAAATGGCCAGTTAGTCAAGATCCCACAATAACAAGAAATGCAGAATCAAAATAGGTGTGGGTGCTCAAATTGTGTGAGCTGGCAAAACAAAATAGTACATAAGTAACAAGATGTGTAAAAAAAAATAACAGCAGTTTTATTGAGTGTTGCACAATTCAAAATACATAAAAAACATCCTAGATGTAAATCTTAGAAGTTGAATTGTGTTCCACGCGTATTAGGTTGGACACAGGTGAGAGAAAACTTAATGGAACTTGGTAATACAATTGTATTGTAAAAACTTGGACTGATACAATGGTTGACTGGTATATAAAACAAGAAATATCACTTTCTTCACATAACTAAATTAAAATTCAACATAAGAGTTGACACATTCTACTAACTCTCATGAGATCACATCCAATCTCTTCAAAACAGACATAGAGCCCATCAATAAATGGTGACCTCATTACAGAAAGAACCTGAAACAAAAAAGGTGGAATCAGATTGTACAGTTTCCTTACTTGCCTATGGCAACTGCATATTAACCACCAGAAAAGTGTGGTCACCTCCCACACAGATGGCCAAGGTGATACTGAAATGATACTATTTCGTTTGCCATAAAATAAAACAACATTCTTAAGAAAACCTTTTACATGTTGAATACAGATATATCAGTTCTCACAGCAGAACACCAGTATATTAATTATATGAGTGTAAATTTGTATATGTAAGCATGCAACAGCTTCTCCCTCCTTTATCTTAAGACTTGACCTTGGCCAACCATTACTTAAAATTTGAAAACGGAAGAACACAAATAAAATATTTGAGCCTGTGATCTCTATACACACTTTAATCTATTTACCTATAGCACATAACATCAAAATATAACATTCAGACAGTATAGGCACATTCTGTAGCACCCTCATGGCAGAAACAATAGACAGACAGCACAAAATCTAATAAACAAAACATGAAAAGCATAAATACGTTTATGTGTACTCTGCTACATCAAACATTGCCAGATCAATAATCTGGTATGGCCAGGTGGTTAGGGCGCTCGACTCACAATCTGAGGGTCGCGAGTTCGAATCCCCGTCACACCAAACATGCTCGCCCTTTCAGCCATGGGGGCGTTATAATGTGACGGTCAATCCTACTATTCGTTGGTAAAAGAGTAGCATAAGAGTGGGTGGTGATGACTAGCTGCCTTTCTTCTAGTCTTACACTACTAAATTAGGGATGGCTAGCGCAGATAGCCCTCGTGTAGCTTTATGCGAAATTCAAAAACAAAGAAAATCAATAATCTTACTCAAATAACATTGAAAACTGCAAATTGTAAAACATTAAGAAAAAAAAATTATATGAATTTAAAAAATTCTTAACAGAAATTTAAATTAGGAAAATAAAAACACGTGATACAACATTATAAAAAAAAACAACATTTCCACGACATAGACATTGTACACAAATACATTTAACAGTTCAAAGCTTCCATCATTACACTTCACACTTAGTGGCATCACTTCTGATAAAGTGAAATAAGCAAAAACTAACTGTCTACTTAAATCATTAACCAAACAAATATAAGCATCAAACTCAAGACTTGAATCCAAAACCCCTGAAACGCAAGAGTTAGCATAATGCATATTCTCAAATTGCCTAAGCGGGCTCATATGGACCCTCATTGTTTGTTTTTTTGGTTTATTTTTACACACATTTGTCAAAACTATATATGCACTAAATTCCTTGTGGGTTCAGGATCTCTAAAATCATACGAGTAACACAAAGCCTAAACAAAAATACTATTGTTGAAGTTCTTAGTGTATTTTATACATAAAATAAGTGATTAAACTCATTTATTTTGGTTATATCTTTGCAGTGAATGTTGTAACAATAAACACATAAAATATATCCAGTTTGATGCAATATATGACCATACTGGTAATGGGTGTTATAGAAACAAATCAACTATCTTCTTTTATCCGGTCATCTTAGAACCTAACACACAAACAGACCAATTTAGACACTAAACATAGTAACCCTAATACTAACCTTGCCTATCTAACTACGCCTAAGACAGACTAAACAGCTATCATACTGATGTCTAAACTAAGCTATCCGTTTTTAGAAATAATATTGTTACGTCTCTGTTCGTTAGCTAATTTTCCGTAAATTCGTTCCAACGAAACTTTAGCGACACAAGTCCTTTCTTAAATAAAACTGGTTTATTCTTTCCGGATACAACTTTACGATACACTTAATTTCAACAGTCGCTCTATAACAACGCTATAACACGTCTTACGTGGCCAACAATATTTTATCCGCATACATTCAATTACTCATTACCTCTGTTGTCCCGTCACGTCGTGAACGTCTTATATATACAAGACTAACACATGTCTAGTAAATGCTAGGGCATTCTTGAACGAACAGGATATTTCTTGAAACAGGTGGCGTGATACTAGTCACGTGACCTCGCTGACGCAACAATATAAAATCATAATTTTTTACGCTACAAAATACAAGAAAAAACATAAGTAAAAGACATGATTGAATAAAATACTACATACATCTAAGCATTAGAATATAAATTTTTTAAAAATTTAATCATGCAAGTAAAACAAAAACAGTAATGAAAGATCCATATCATGCGTAACAAAATGATCCAATGAACATAATGTATAATCAAACAAAACTAATAAGCCTATTACATGCCACAATCATATTTCAAAAGTTCATAAGGTTCGAACTTTTATTGGAAATGTGATTTTTTTATTATTTAATCCTCTCCTGACTATTGAGCACTTTTCGGGTGTTGAGTGCACACCTGCATATTAAATTTAAAAATTAAAGTAAAATAATAAATCTTGCTATATTAACAATTTGCTTATTCAAAAATATTATGTAATTGATATTTTGTTATTTTTAATATTTAGTTAATGTGATTCACAAAGAATAATAATTAAAAAACAACAGCATTCAATCTTGCATTCTTGCAAACTGGAGGAGGCTGTCCTGTAACTATAAGCAATGCATTTATCGATTTTTTAAAACTTTTCCCTCATCACAAAGCATAGGTTTATATTTGTTAAAAGAACGATCCTCACTTAAGGATATAATTCTAAAGATTTTGTTTCTCACATGATTTTCTTTTCCTCTGCCTTTATTAATGTAGCCTCTTTTTATCACACTCTTTTATGACTTTATAACATGTGACGTGAACAACTATGGAGATCAGCTTTGAAAATAGCTACAAGCCAAAGTTTAAATACCATTGGATAGAACAGCTTGTAAAGAATTTCCTTCAGTATAGAGTTAATAAAGCGGTGTGAAAAGCAATTCAGAGTTTCGTGGAAAAGTGAGATTAAATAAAGTTCCTCCAGAGAATAAAATCGAAATTTAGCGGAAAGTTTAGAAGACGTAGTAACAAACCACAAATCTAGGATTTATTATTTTTTATAGTTTCCTTGGGCACGCTTTTCGTTACTTAAAATGTGTTACTGTTAAATTATATTTG